GATAATGAACCACAAAAACACCACTGCGATTAAAATAAAGGTTCCAATAGCACTCGAAAAGGTCGTAAAAAACAATCGATAAAATTCAGAAAGTAAGTTGTCGCATGTGTCGACGTCTTTACTGAATCTGATGATTAATGAATTTGGATTAGAGAATATTAAAAATAAGATGTTTAAACATGACAACTACCGATTAATAATTCTTCCTAAAGGAGTGGTATCAAAAAAACTTGTTGGCGCTCTTAATACACGTCTAATTGCATTATTATGCAATCTTTTGGCTGCTTTGACACCGCTGTAGGTGAATGCAAAACCACATAATACACTAAAAACTCCTTGAGTGGCCCCCCATGCACAATAAACACCAATCTATTAGTGAAATTTATTTGCATTTAATAATATAAAATAAATTAGTCATGTTTGTTTATACTTCAATTTGAGATTTCATAAATTTTAAAGATATGTACATAAATTTCTAATGGAAAGTCAAACGTGTTGCTGGACCAGAATGAAAGCCATAAATTATTTCTAAAAAAATAGTTTAACGATTTTCTCAACTATGCATAAGATTATTCAAGTAATCAAAATGTTATTAAGATATTAATAAGGTAAAAACATACCCAATATTTACTCCTTGCATCATAACAAGCAAGAAAATAATGATGAGTATTGATAACAATCCACCCGCATTCCTAAGATATGCCAAATATGTCTCATTATTCACTGCCCCTCTGTACTGTTCTTCCATTGACATTAACCCCTTAGGCAAAACAAATGTCTGAACTTTTTTATTTTCTTTTTTGTTCAATGTTGATTCTTCATCATTTTTTATTTCATCTGCATTTTCGGCTTCACCATATTCAGCAATCAATTTCGAAAAGGCTTTCCCACCTTTAATTAATTCCTCATAAGTTCCTTGTTCAGCAATTTTACCGTCTTCCATATAGATTATATAATCGACTTGTGGTAGATAATGAAAATGATGCGTAACAAGTAAACGCGTTTTTTTGGCAAGTGCGCCTTGAATACAGTTTGTGAATAAGTACCTTCCAACGTTTGCGTCAACTGCTGATAATGGATCATCTAATAATACAATATCAGCATTATAGTACACAGTTCTTGCGATGTTGACACGTTGTTTTTGTCTGAAGAAGCAAAATCGAATTTTTTGTAAAAAAAAATTATATTTCATTAATATATATAATTAATAAAACAATAACGTACCCCCCAGATAAATTAATTCCTTTCTCTCCGATTTCGGTCTGATCACCAGCAGGCAACACTTCTAAATCTGGTTCTAAACAACAATCTTTAATCACTTGTTGATACTTTTCTTCATTAAAAGGTAATCCAAAAGTAATATTGTCCCTTAATGTAGCATTTTGAATCCACGTAGTTTGAGGACAATACCCAACATTTCCACCAAATAAGACCTCTCCTTTAATTCTTTTCATTTC